AGGTTCTCATGTGAGCCACTGCTAAATGGTTTCCAAACAGTGAGCTGTGCTCATTAGTCTACTTATTGAAAAGGATGTAGCAGGACTATATTATGCACCATTGATTATTGTGTGAGCTCAGTTTACAGAAATAAAACTAGTGGATTTTTCCCAAAGAAATATCCAGACCCCTATGTTTCTTTTGAAAAAGAAATCTGTGTCAATGGGTTGACAACTCCATTTTAACTCCAGAAGGCATGACCAGCTACTGCTGTGACAAACCTCATTTTGTGGGACAGTGCTGTGGCTGGCTTAATTTTCTTTAGACTGCTTCCACTTCATCAGAGACCAGTTTGATGTAGGATTTTTTTCACCCTGTCTGAAGATGACTGGCCTAGCATTTGCTAACAGTCTTCACGCTCTGTCACTTACTACCTAACAAGAGCCTGAAGAGATCTTAATAGACTCTGGCCTCTCTTCTGGCACTATGATTAAAAAATAAATACATCTCCCTTTTGGACAGAAGTATGTAACCTGTTTCTAATGCAATTCATTTCTCCTTACTGCCTTCCTTGAAACTATAGTTTCTTGAGTTAGATGTGGATACACATTCCAAAATACTCCCACAGAATTAAGAGCTCTAGCTCTTTTTAAAAGAATCCTCTTTTGTCACTGAATCACTGCCTTCCTTCTGAATGAATAAAAAGAGCAAGGGACATAATGTGGATAACCACCTGGTGGATCTCTTCTACTTTATATAGGACCTCCTCTAAGATAGATATGCAATATTCAGTGGTAGTAATTTCACATTGCACTTTCTGTTCACCATCTACATTTCACTTAAAAACCTATGTTTTGTGCTTTTTCTTAATCATTTTTGGTTTGTTCAGTACTTTTACTCATTTCTCTAAATGGATATGATTCATTCCTATAGTTCTTGGTGTTTATACTTTATGTATTTACCAAGTTCAGTTTGGTTTTGTGTATATTTCTCCTGTGCCTGTATGCAGAAGTCTGTTGTGAGTTGTTTGGATATTTGGGTATTTGCTTTTTTTTTTAAAGAAAACATAATAGATGAGGGAGTTGCTATTTATTAATTATGAAAGTGCACAATCAACTCAGTTGTTAAGTTTCAGAAATTTCACCTTGCTTTTCCTTAATGGTGGAAATCTTGATCAATCTCTCTAAATTCTATTCCACCAAACTAAAATTTCTCTGTGGAGAAAGTAATATACAAAATATTTGGGGGGGGGGATGTTTTTCCCTCATTTCTTTTCACTACTGTTATGCGATTCATAATACTAGAGCTCTATCCCGATATAACGCAACCCGATATAACACGAATTCAGATATAACGCGGTAAAGCAGCGCTCCAGGGGGGCGGGGCTGCGCGTTTCGGCAGATCAAAGCAAGGTCAATATAATGCGGTTTCATCTATAATGCGGTAAGATTTTTTTGGCTCCCGAGGACAGCGTTATATCTGGGTAGAGGTGTATTTTGCAAGGTAGCATAACTTTTATTCCCATTTATTCACTCTTCTCCCCCTGCCCCCTCATCACTCAGTGGAAATTCTACATCTATATTGCTGTCCATATAGGCTGTAGTCTGTCCACAATTGTAAAATATTTGCCCTATAGCATGCGATCGTGTAACAAAACCCTATTTGATTTTAGCTGAATTTTGTAGATTAGCTTGGCCTGTTTGTACATAACTGTCAAACTGTATAAGTTTAAAATAGTGGAGACTTCAACTAGAAGATGCACCAAATAAACTTTATTCCTTGTTTTAATTATTTGGGGGTGAGTTATTTCTCTTAACTCCAGCTGGCACAGACTGCTTATCCACCAGACTTCTATGTTAAAGTGCAGAGTAATTGGTATCCAGATAATTAGGCTTGGGGCACCAGTCATGGGATTACATAGCAATGGCTGAAGATCTGAGTCTTTTGAGGCCTGACCATTCCCATCAGTGTGTTTATGTATCAGCGTCTGCCTAATGACATCTGGAGCAAAAACTTTATTTTCACACCTTACCTCAAAGCAAATGCACAAGGGAACAACAACTCGATTTCTGTTTTTGCGGACTATGATCTCTACCTTTTTTGTGCTTTGTTTGCTTAATTCTCATATTAAATTCTCCTCTTAAACTGGAGGAAGATAAATTAGGGTTTGAGTGGTTTTATTATTAAAACTTGTGTGATGAGCCAGCCCTTTGTCACAATCAGTCTCTAGCCTTCAGGATTTGTTTCTCTCACAAGGCTAAAAGAACACTTGCTGGACTGAAGGCCTTGAAAGATGAACAACATTCCTCTTCGCCTTCGCACTTCTTCAGAACTTGTAAACAAAAACGTACCATCTGTAAAATCCAAATTAATCCTGGAGACAACTAAGTTAAGTGTTGGCAGGTGTGTTGCACCTCAGGATTTTGGAAATGAAGTCAGTTTATCCAAATTTGAGTCCCTATCAAAATGAAAGTTTAAACCAGGATTGTGGGTTGTATTAGAGCTCTGCTTAACTCATTGGGAACAACCAATGACAATCAAGATATCTTGCTTTGCTGCTGTTTTTCAGTCTTCCAGCCCCAGCAGTGAGAGACTTAAATTCTCTTTTGTTACTGACATTCTTCCTTACTGACCACAGCTTCTGCTTGTACTTTTTGCTCAAGACAGACTGTGCTAACTCATTCAGTGTGCATTCACTTAGTTTGATTTTATTTTTTGTGTTCTAATTATTCATGAGGGTCCAAATGAGTATAGGAAAAGTTAGATCTGTTATGGATGGACAAGGGTACCGAGCAGATTGCTCAAGTGGAATGTATCAGAAGGGTAGCTGTGTTAGTCTGGATCTGTAAAAAGCAACAGAGCCCTGTGGCACCGGAATGTAATACTTTAAAATTCTGTAACATGTTGATCAATGTGCTGTATTGCAACCTTTCATCCACAAAAGTGTTGATCATTCTGATTTGCAAAGAAACATGTTAGTCTATATAAATAGTGAAAAAGTGACCTCACTAATTTATGTGCAAATTGTTTATTTTCATAGAACTGAAGAACCAGGGTTAGGCCTTGTCTACACGGGCACTTTACAGCGCTGAAACTTTTTTGTCTCAGGGATGTGAAACACCCCCCTGAGCGATGCAAGTTTCAGCGCTGTGAAGTGCCGTGTAGACAGTGCACCAGCACTGGGAGTCATGCTCCAAGCACTGGGAGCCACTCCCCTTGTAGGGGTGGTGTCTTTTTTTTTTTTTTTAAATTATTATTTTACAGCGCTGGAAGTTCTCTCCCAGCACTGGTGCCGCGACTACACAGCTAGGTTAAAGCGCTGCTGTAGCACAGACTCTTCTGCCTGGTCTCCTCCAACTGGTCCTTGTCCCACTCCTGTCTCTTTCCTGCCCTTTGCTCCTTGTCCCAGTGTCCTCATCTCTACAGTCCCAGTCATAGGTGGTTCGAGGGCCAGGCGAGCAGGGTGGTCGCCCTGGGTACCAACTTCCAGGGGCCACTGAAATGGTGTGATGCTGGGTTGTTTTCGATATTCATATTTTTGCTTCACTCTGTTTGTCTTTGCTCCACTTTGATTGGCCAGCCACTTTTTTTTGGCTTACCTGCTTGGCAGGGGATGCCAAAAACGTTACTGCTCTGGCCAGCAAAATGGCTTGGACTGCTCTTGGTCCCAGTTGCCATGATTTTCATCCATTCCTCTTGCCCAGCTAGTCTGTCTTCCCCCTCCTTTGCCAAAACTCCCAGTCCTGGTTTCCTCTGGCCTAGGTTCCTGGTCCCAATTTAATTCTCTTGCCTTTCCTCTCTCTGCATTGGAATCAGGCAGCTTCCTCTTCACTGTCTGGGCGTCAACCATGTGGAGCGTTGAGAGCACAGGAGAGACAGGCTCACTACTCTCAGTTTAGGTCCCTGTTTCTGACATGGCCTGCAGCAGCCCAGAGCCGCAGGGAAAGACCTGCTCATAGAATCTCAGGGTTGGAAGGGACCTCAGGAGGTCATCTAGTCCAACCCGCTGCTCAAAGCAGGACCTATCTCCAGACAGATTTTTACCCCAGTTTCCTAAATGTCCCCCTCAAGGATTGAGCACACAACCCTGGGTTTAGCAAGCCAATGCTCAAACCACTGAGCTATCCCTCCCCTGCTCATGTTGCCCACTGGGGATGGAATATTGGAGATTTTAGCTGTGGTCTGGCGTGTCTCGTCTGAGCATTTGCAAGCTGTGATTCCTAACCCTTTCCCCCCCCCCCCCCCCAATGAAAGCATGTAACTTCTCCAAATTTGGGTAGATTTTCACAGAGATGGCAAAAGGCAAATCCTCAACTCACGGGCCACTCATTGCCAAATTTGAAGTTCCTGCTTTGAAGCATTAGGGCACTAGTGCCTCTCAAATAAAAGCTCCAGAATTTAAACTTGGCAAAACATGTTTTTCCCTACTTTTTTTTTCTTGGAAATATCTGAACCCTCTTCAGGGAGGGAAAAACATCCCAGCCTGAGGCAGGCACTTAAGATTGTAAATTTCAAACAGTTAAAACTTGGCAAACTTATCAGCAACTAAAAGCAGGATTTTATTATGGGAAATGTCAGGCAACCTCAATAGGCAGTGACACCCCCCAACCCCTTCTTTGTAAATGAGCAGGCCGTTTTCTGCATAATACCCAAATTCCAATTACTGCAATTGAGTATTTAAGTTATTTTAGGGGGAGAAAGTAGAAATGTCTGTCTGCCACAGTTGTGAGTTGTCTCTGGCATGTTTTTTCCCTAGTAAACCATTGTCTTTAGAATTATGACTAGACTGTAGCTAGCAGTCTAATATTGTATATAAAATACTTTTAAAAATCTTTGTACTCTGAATATGTCTAATGATGAACACGCAATACATTTTATTAATAATTTGTCAATTCAGAGAAGCACTGAGACTCTTGAGTCTTTATACCAAATGGCCAAGAAATGGAGGGTTTTTACATATTAGTCAGTAATGTGGAGGAACTTGTTTTCGGTGAAATGTTTTTGTTTTCCTTTCTTTTAGGTACATACATTCTCACAACTGCTCTACTGCCTTTGCTGGAAAAAGAAGATGATCCCAGAGTTGTGAGTTTATAATGCTCCTTTTTTAAGCTGTTGTTTTTACTACACTCTTTTTGTGTTTTGTGGCAATGTCTCTTTCCTCTTTGATTGTGTACATGTTTGCAGCCCTGGTACTAGTTACCCCTCTGTCATGTGCCTCGCACATTCTTAGACTCTAATAAATAGTAATATTATCTGAAACCTAATAAATAGTAGTCATCCATTCAAAATCTGAATTCTATCTCGCTGTTTTGTACAGGAGCTACAGTGGCTGGTGAAGTAGATAAAATACCTTATTCAGAGATTGCTTCCCTACACCATATCTCCTGCAGCACAGTAAAACACCTATAACAGGAGTGTAGGGTTAAAGTTGCCTTCTAGACTTTGGTGCAAAAGGGGACATTTTATTAGGAAGCATTCAATATTTATACAAAATAATTGAAAAATGTTCTAATGAGCTGCCACCTATATTTTAAGGTTTGCTGTCTTGTAACTTGCCAGGTTTAGAAATGCACATCAGGCCTTTTAATGTGCCTGTATCTAAATAAGAAAAATTGATTGGCTTTTCCAAGTGCTGGTCCTGGATCAGTGAATTAAAAAGTCTATCCCTGTTCTGTCCCTTTATTAGCGATTGCGATAAAAGCATGAGCAGGTCCCTAGTGGGGCAAAGAGCATTTTGAATGAGCATGTGCTCCATTTTTGACCTTTCCTTTGTCAGCTCTCCAGGTACGCTTTGTGGTACAAGTGTGATGGTCCTCTTCTACAGGCACAGTGTAAAGAGAGTAGAACAGAAAAATCTTGTATGCAGTGTAACTTCATGAGTGGGCCTTAAGACAATCTTAATGAACGTGGGGGATTGGCTTTTTACATTCACTTAATTTATTACAGATAATTGTCTCTTCAGGAGGGATGTTGGTGCAGAAATTAGATGTATCTGATTTGCAGTCTGAAAACATAACATTTGATGGTACTATGGTCTATGCCCAAAACAAGGTAGGTATGTGGACTTGAAAGTAAATCCTATAACTTGGATCAGACTGGCAGTGTGATACAGCTTCCTTTAAAATAGGCTGCAAATCGGATGGCTATTGACATGGGATTGCTCTTTTCACTGCATCTAAACTAGATATAGCGCAGCATGCAACATTCCGTATCAATACAGTTCATTTCCTGCTGAAACTGAAATTAATGTTGCATATTACAGTAAAGATTACGGAGAAGCTTGAGGAGTGGGTGATTCTTGCACTTTGTGAGCAATATGAGCGTTTAGTTTCACCCAACCCCAAACATTTTACAGACGGGGTTGAGCAGAAAATTAGCCTGGATTTGTGTCTTTTTCTCATTCCATTTCTACCCCTATATTTAGCCTGCAGAAAATGGAGTTGGTGAATGAAAGCTTCCTGAACTTACATTAGCAAAAAGCTTTAATAACAAACAGGGGTTAATACCTATTGCTGCGTACGTAGGTTGCCTTTACCACTCTACAGTGGTTTCTGACAACATTATCTTGAAGAAGAGCTCTATGTAGCTCAAAAGCTTGTCTCTTTCACCAACAAAATTTGGTCTGATGAAAGGTATGACCTCGCCCATCTTGTCTCTCTAACATTATCTAATGGATTGCTGCTTTTCCCAGTATGAGTGGTACAGGTATTTTCTATATTGTCTGCAACCTGGTAATTACAGTGCATTATGGGTGTATTGGAAGCATTTGGGATTGGCTACTGGGAGACAGGATAACAGACTAAATGGATCATTGTTCTTTTCCAGTATGGCATTTTTTTGTTGTATCCTAGAGACAGCAAGTAGTCTTGACAGAACAATGGGCTAAAGTGCACAAAAACATCCATTTCTCTGCCATGCATCCTGGCTGGGCAGATACACCAGGTACAGTCTGCTAAAGGCACTTACGCCTTCCAGTCTTAGTCTAAAATTGAATCGTAATATGACATTACTGTAAATTTGTATAACAGGTCCACCGATCTCTTCAGTTTAAATTCCTGGAAAGTGGCTGTTTTAGAACCCTCTGCTGTCCTGTTTTACAGGGAGTCTGAGATCAGATGGAGCTGGGGATGCAGGTCTGCACTCTAGTCTGACCTGCTCCTGCAATTCCCCCCCACCTGACACTCTTGCTTCAGAATCTGGGCCCCCCAGTGATGTCACTCTCCCTTTCTGCTTTGAGCTTGGAAACTACCAGTTCCAGCTGTGCACTTCAGTATCTTGTATTACTCACCCACACAACCCCTGTAGTTCAACTTCCCAGTGGACTTCAGCTTATTCTGCCTTGTTAAGGAGATGGATACAGGGTAAAGGATTTCCACCCTAGATCAAAGGACACTGACTAGTCACCTTCTTTTACTTTTACACTCTGTAGAATGCAATTTCTTAATAGGCTTCAAAATATCCCTTTACAAATCTAGGGGCTGGCCTGCCAAATAGAGAGCTCCCCCAACACCCACTGATCATGTGACTCTCCACATTCTCCTGCAGTTTCCTGCTGATTGGAAAATATAGGCTTCATCTTTCCTTGCCCAACGTTTTACTTCACACTTAAGCAGTTTAAATGCAGTGTTTGTAGCTTAAGGAATACTATTTTCCATGTCTGCTTTTTTTGCCATGTGCTTATAAAATAACTCAAAAGACTACACTGGTTAAAGTCTATCTCATTATTTCTAGCAGTCATAGTCATAAAATCAATGAAAATAAGAACTAAATCCCCAGATATTTCCACCATTTGTTTTCTCACGTTCTGATCCAGTCAACTTTGAACAGGATCAAACAACAGAACTGGGGTGCACCTCTTTTTGATTCTTATTCTCTCAGCCTTTTGACTGTCTCCGTACACTTTAGTCCAAACAATGAGAAATGTCTGGTTCATCTTTTGGCAATCTAACATCCCAGCACGATAGTAACTCTGCCATCCATGGGACAGTGTCTCCTTTCCCTGATTTTTAAAAGGTCACTGCTTTTCACACTACTATTACCATTTTAACGTTTAAAAAAACTCTTTAGCAAAAAAGATTGACTCAACACCCTTTCATTATTCTTCACTGTAGCGGTGAGATCAGCGATGCCAGAATTCTATGAAAAGATGAAGAATAAACTGCGCACAGAGGCTCAGGGAGCCGATACAGTAGTGTGGCTGGCAGTCTCACCTGCAGCAGCTAAGCAAACAAGCGGCCTATTCTTCCAAGGTAAGGTGGCAGTTTCATAGACTGAACCTGAAGGAGGAGTGCTATTACTGCACTGATTGTACAATTGACTTTACCAAAGGGCCAGAGCGGTTATACGTTGAGGGTTAAAATAGTTCCTGCAATTGTTTATAATGTGTGACTCCAAAGGCCAAGCACAGCGTTGCATAACTAACAGAACTAGTCAAACTGACGGTATTTTGCTGGTCCTGCCCTTTCGACCAGCTGGCATTAATTGGATAAAACATCTGGGTTGAAGTTGGCTCTGCACATGACTAGGCAGAGACGTGGCAAAGCAAAGTGAGCCTGCAGCGATGTCCGATGGACTCTTACCTTCTGTACAGAGTACAGAGGAGTTGCATTCATTTTGAGGGCACTTGTCTCCCCTCTTTCTCCTGTTCACATTAACAGTGCCCAGGTGCCAGTGCACACTCGTTCTTTCTGCAGCTCTGTGGTGGGGACTTGCAGTCAGGATTGTTAGTGTGAACAATGCAGACTCGGAGATGAAATCTAAGTGCAGCTGGATTGGTGAACGAGGGGTCAGGGAGAGAGGAGGGTGGGAAAGGGCTTTGAAAGTTCCCATTCTGCTACTCACACAGTAAGTGCTCAAGTGGGAGTGGTTTTGTGACACCTCTGCTCTCAGGGCAGTGGAGATCTATGATGTGGGAGACAGGCCAGAGGTGGGGCCCCTTTTCATAGAAAGCCCCTCTTTTTCTACCCCCCCCCCCCGCGCGTGTGACGAAGGCCTGCTTTCAACCTGTTCGTTCAGTCTGGGGCATCTGGGACGTTTGGATCCCTCCTCTCCACAGGTACCAGACCCACTCTTAGTCAAGAGATTTTTACTGTCCCCCACCCCCCAAGAGCAGTAAACTACAGGCTTGAATCATCTGCCCATAAACCTGACTGGAATTTCTTTTCAGATGGAATCATTTGTCTGTGGTGCATGCACAAAATGGAACACACACGTGTTCTGCCTCATTGTAGAGCAGGGGTAGTGCCTCTTCTTCATCCTTAATCTCTCTTCCTCCCTCTTATTTCTATTGTCTGCTCCAACCACGCTTCCTGTTACCTCGTCATCATCACCTTGGCCTGGCCCAGCTTGCCCTACAGCCTTAGCAAACAAGCAGGGGGACTGTAATCCTCAAGGTTGACCAGAGCTGTGTGTTCCTGTGAGCTTTGCACTTGGCAAGGCTGCAGCTTTGGAGAGGGGCGTGAGGATTCTTGGGGTGGTCCCCAGTAACAGTGTTCCCCATTTTGTCGGTTGGGGAACCCTGGGACTCAGTGGCTCAGTTTTTTGACAACTCTGGGAAAATCACTTGTTTTTAAATGCTCTCTGTGCCATCATCCCTTGGGGTCAGGCACAGCCCCCCTGCTTCCCCTCTTGACTCTGAATAGTGCATTGTCATCCCTTGCTGTCTTAGTTCCCTGGGAGCTATTTGCCAACTCACAATAAAATACCCCCAAACTGGATGAATATGCAGCTGTTCTGCTTCCATTCCCCTCCTGCTTCACTTTCACCTTCTTTATTCTGTTCAGTTTAGATACTTAATGCAAACCCCAGTCAGCCTTTTTGCTGAGGAAGGGAAGGGGGCTGGGAGTAGGCTGTCCTAAGCTCAAATAATTCTTTCCTCTCTGCTAATGAGACTTCACAGGACAGTGCACAGGCAGGCAGGTAGCTGTTTCCTCCATAGCTTTGGCCTGGTAGAGTACAGCAGTTCCCAGGTATCCATGTAGGCTAATTCTCGCAAACATTTTTCTTCCCCCCAGTAGTATTGATTGCTGCACCATAAGGAAGCGTGAGTGCGCCTCTTATTGTTTGGCTTCCTGTGCACAGCCAAGGGTGAACAGATGTAATGCTGTATGTACACTGAGTTGTTATGCTAACTTCACAAGAAACTGACCATTCACCTTTCTGGAAATTCTCCTCTGAGAATGAGGCAGGCCCCTGTGCTTCCATGGAAATCCTCCACTAGAGCCCAGAACAATGTTTGAAACGGAACTCTTGTGCAAGGATGGATGACAATCCTGTAGCTCTCCACAGCTTCCTGCTTACTGCATGGCTGCTATAGATATGGTGAAGATAAACTAGCTTTCTGCAGCTCAACTGGCCACTTCACTAAACATATTCTACCCATACTGCTGAAGGAGAAATACTCCTCCCATGCACAGTAGTGATCTGAAGTTGCTTTTTTAAAAAGATAGTCATTACTAAGTTCTGTGACCAGTCATTGTGTTAAGGCAAAGACAGAGCTTCGCTGTGGGTGGTATGTAATTAGTTATAATCAGGAATGGAAATTTAGTACTATCCCTTGTGTTATGGTGCTCTATTGGTGGAGCTGTGTGGTAGACTGAACCAGGAGGCTCAGGTTCATGTAACCAGACAAGGAATGTCTTATTGTGCACGTTTGACTAAGCATTTTGACTGAGAACCAGTTTATTCTCTTGATAAAAGGCGGAGTGCTTAACAAGCTAATTCCATAGTGCTAATGCTAAGCTCTGTATTTTAAGGATAAAATTAGCCCAATTCCATCCTGTGGAATAGCTGCACCAGTGCAAACCCCCATCCTGAAAACAAGGAAAGCTACAGTTTGTTTTGCTGCTTGAAACTAGGTAAACTCCAGCAAAACCAATCACTGCACTGCTACAGCTACATTGACTAAAATCAGGGCTAATTTCTATGTGGACAGGGCCTTCCTTTTTCTAATGTCTGGCTACAAAAAGAGTCTACATCTCTCTAAAATCAGTCTCACAAGGACAGGCCTTTTGGGTGCCTAATTCAAAATGAAATTAGTGTAAGTGCATTCTGTTTTGGTAAATGAAGTAATATTTTTTTAAAAGTACAGTATTTAAATGTTGTAGAAATCCACAAGGCCAGATTAACCCTTTTGGCCTCAAGATCATTCTGTGCACAGGTAAAATGCATTGGTGGTTCTGGTTTGAGACCCACTTTGTGCTGGGAGAGGTGAAAGATTTACTACTTTTTTTTTTCCTCTTCCCCTCCCCTGCCCACCCCCCTGCAGACCGGCAACCTGTTTCTACCCACTTGCTCCTGGCAAGAACATATTCTTCACCAGAGGAGGAAGAGAAGCTAATAAAAACTTTAGAAGAGCTTTCCCAGAAATTTAAACCCACTTGATCATGTCTTCTGTAGGCATTTATCACCACCCAATTGAACAGAAATGAAGCTTTGAATTAGAATACTAGCAGAATTGTATTTCACCTGTTACAAATATGAGGGGAAGAGAACAAGTTTGCTACAACTAATATACTTAAGCAGAATCACACTTCACCTTTTATAACAAGTTGTAATGTATACTGTTAGTGCAGGCTTTCATAAGATAGCATAAGCTATTGAGCAGTTGAATATGAATTCAGATTTTGCTCCCCTGAAGTCCTACCTCTGTCTGTCATACAGTAGAGTACATGCACCTTGCTTCAAGTATGTAAAGGAAACATCAGAGGGAGGTATTTCAGCATTGGGTTGCTCATATGTGCCTGTAACAAACAAGTTCTAGCCTAGCACTATTACTAATTAGTGACTGCCCCATAAACTTGTGTGGCTACAATCAGTTAGTGCTTGGTTAGACTTTACCTCTCCTATCTAGGTTTTGCTAGTGTCAGTATTCTCAACCACTGCTTTATAATAGTAGAGGAGTGGGCTGTAGGTGGAAAAGAAAGGTCAAAGTACTTTTTCCAAGACCAGAAGTGCTAGACTGCTATTTGGAAAGCCTATTCTAGTCCTTTTCAATCTGATTTTTCTAACTGATCTTTTATTTATAGCAAACTACTTTTCTTCTTTGGAGGCTAAACCAGTACCTTTCCCTCTATATATGCTGTATTTTAGAGCTAAGAACCTTCTCTCCTGTATGGGGGCAAGGGGTAGTCTGCTTATGGGGCTGTAGACACTGTTTGGAGTGTCTTTCCTTTCATAAGGCCTGTTCCTACAAAGGTCTATAATAGTTTAACTGAACCAGCAAGTGTTACACAATTCATGTAAACAGTCAGGTTTAAGGCCTTGAGATTTTCTGTAAACTAATTACTGAAAACAGGAGGAAGTAGACCACTATTTTCTGTGTAGGCAGCTCTGCAGCTGTTGCCAAATTCCTGCTGCTTGACTCAATGAACAGGGAGGAAATACTATTCCATTCCAGCCTCAAGGGGTTGGAGCTTTGATTTAAGGAAGCACAGAGCCACATACCAAAGTGAAAACCTAATCTGGATGGGAGCTTGCCTTCAGCAATGGTAATGACAATGCTTGAAAATAGCTGTACCTTTACAGCCAAGAGAATGAAAGGAGAAACTAGTACATGCTTGTTACATAGGTGGCACCTAAAGGCTTTACTACAGCTTTAACATAAGGGTGCACACATCATAGCTTCTATATGCTGCGCTTACTGCATGTAACAGGACTAGTTACATTCCACCCTCCATTTCAGGGACTCACTGAAATCCCCCTCGCAAGGATTCTGTATGTCTCCCATACCAGCATCTCAGTACATCCTCTAGTGATCATGTTACATTCAGACAGAAGTGCTGGCTAGTTGAGTGCAAGGCCATGCAAACTCAGCTAATTATGGGAGGTAACTAAAAGGTTAAATTCATTTTAGCTGTGTACATTCAGAATTGATGGAATATGCTGAATAAGACAATTGAAGTGCAAGCAGGGGGAACTAATGAACTTTAGAATTAGCAAAGTATTGGTCTGCTTAAGGCAACATGGACACAGCCACACTGCAAAAGCAGTAAAATTTTGAACAGCAGTAGTTTGATTGCCTATAGGCAACACCAGTCTTTGGCAGTAAACTTTTTATAACAAGCCTTTGAAAATTACAAAAGAAATATTATTCTAACATACCTTATTGAGACTGTTAAACTAGAACCTGTATATAAAAAATAATTAGTTCTCAGCTAGCAGCAAGAATACTACCTTTAAGGCTTGTCTACACTGCATGGCAAAGTCCTCGGGGGGAGGGGGTCCACAGGTTAGAGGAGGTAGTTGTAGAGCACTGTAACTGCTCAATGTAGATACTGCTGGCATGTTCTAAAAGGTACTTAGTTTGCATTAGTCCTCTGTCAATAAGACCCCCTCTAGAACACTTTGCTGCCCTGCAGACAAGCCCATAGTTTACTAGCGATATCAAAGTGAGTGAGTTGTCTTTCTGGGCTATAAAGATTGATCACTTGAGGCCATGCTACTGCCCAAAGGAGAATTAATTATGTCTAGATTTTAAATGTTATAAGGAAGCTTTCACAAAAGAGGTGTCCCAGCTGTGTAAAGTGCACATAGTTTAAAAAAGGAGTATGCTGTAAGGTCCTTTACATTTGTGTTCAAAAGCATCCAAATTAGGACTGAACACTGATATAAAGAAACTTGTGTTTCCAGTCTGCTCTCTATATGTCAAAATACAGTCAAATGAAAACATTATCTTAGTAGTATAACAAGCTTCTAGCAAGATACTGAGTAGTAGATGTTAGAATACAGATATTCAGGCCTGCCTGTAAAGGTCTATATACTTTAAGAACTTAGGTGTATTTTTAATCACTTAGCTAGTTATAGAGGTATGAAACAAATCAAAAAATCACAAGTCCACCTGTGTACAGGCCTTCTCCCACGAGGATAGCTTGAGGCCTTGTTCTCAGGCTAAGGCCTTTGGCTAAGCAGTAGAGGCAGCCATAAGCTGGGAAGCGAACGGTCATCCTCACATCCCAAACCAGTCACACTAAAAATAAGCTGCTATTGGGCTGTTAGGAAGACAATCCTGTCCTGATAGTGCCCATCACCACCCGATAAAGAAACCAATCTTAAGATGGTTAAAGAAAACTTAAGTTTGATTGATTTCTTGCCAGACAGGATGCTCTTATCAATGGTTATGAAACCCTCATTTCTGTATTTTTCTTTGACCCCCACTTTTCTATTGTTAATCTGTCTGGTTCTCTAACTTTTTCTGTCTGCTGTATAATTAATTTTGCTAGATGTAAGTTAATTAGGGTAGTGAGATAGAATTGGTTAGAGAATTATGTTAGGCTTGGTTAGTTAAATTTCAGTAAAATGACCGGTTAGGGTACAGCTGAGAATATTACTATATAAACTGGGGTCAAACAGGAAGTGGAAGAGGAAATTGGAATCATGCTTGCTAATGAGGGGGAAGGAACTGGAATAGGGACACAGTAAACACTCTGTAGCATCAAAGCTGGGAAGGGGGATGGGTAAATGCTCTGTGGAGTCAGCTGGGAACAGAACACTGGGCGGGGGGGGGGAGGAAGGGGAAGAAACAGGCTCTCTTGGCGTGTTAAAGATAAGCCCGACTGGTGTGAAGGGCTTTGGAATAGGCTTGCTTGGAAACTAACCCCAATAAACATCGCATTGTCTGCGCTTTGGACTTCTGGTCTTTTACTGCTTGCTGTTTGCGTGACAAGAACCAGGGAAGTGGGAGGGTTGAGGGAAAGCCCTCTAACAGTAGATCACTTTCAGGTTATTGTGGTGTTGAAGAGGAGACTGGTAAAGAAGAATCTAAAAAGCAGTAAGTAGTATGAGAGCGAGAGAGAGAGTTTGTGTGTTTTGAGAATTGGATTCTTTCTCACATACAAATTACAGTGAAAAAGTACAACAGGAAGATTTGCACAGACATTTATTTCCCAAAGGTTTAGGTTTTACATTAATTTATTACACTGTTTGAACAGTTGAACAGTTACTGAAAAGATGGCAAATTGTGGAGGGAAAATTCTAGACAAAGGGAAACAATGACATTCAGCAGCATTTTAATAGTACATTAATTGCAGAATTTAAATAAAAGTTTCTCATTACTGAATAATCTTATTAGTTAGCCAAATTCCTGTGCAACTGGAATTTCCTCCTACCAGTGTAAAAATATACCAAACCCTCACCCTTCGGTAATATTCTGACAAATGGCATGTGGGTGTCAATATTCTTAGGGAACTAAATATATTTTAGTCAATTTGCAGTAACTGAACACTACCCTTCACACCTGCCAGCTTTGTTGTGGTTGAAGAGAAAGTTTCAAAATAGATTCCAAAATCCATAGTTAATAACCACTAACGACAGAGGGCATTCTTCTATTTAACAGTGGAGAGAAAGTTACCCGTACCAGATAATTTAATAAATTGAAGCATATTGTTTGGACAAGCGTTTTAACAGAAAGCATATGTAGTAGCTACATTTCCTAATCTAGCAGGCTGCAGAGCTTAACAACTTAATGTTCGTGTACTTTTCAGTGTGTTTTAGCTAAAGTAAGTTTGCAACCCTGTAGGAGTCTGTATAATGTAAGCTACCTAAAACAGCGCATAAAACTAAAAAAGTGCACTTACATCTTTTGGTCCATATTCCATTCTTAAATATCCCTTTACTTTCTTTCCATTCATAGGTTATAGGTGGAAAGGCTCAAAGTCATGTAAGCGTAAAACTTAGTCACAGTGTAGGAAAATGCCAGCTGTCATATGTTGTAGTTGAAGTGATCAACAGTTAAATCTAGGGCTAGGGCAGCAATTCAAAACCAAATATGTAGTTTTTCATAACATTGGCATTATATTTCATTTAGTTCAACATTTAAACACAATTCTTCTCCCCTTTAAAAACATTCCTTTTTCCTCACCACAACTTTGACTGAGGTATGTAATCATGACGCAAGTGAGATGCTTTATTTTAAAATATAATGCACATTAGGTTGTGTGTCATGTAAGCAAATACATTCATTGTCATCTTAAATTCTAGTGGCAAGAGACACTACTGACTGAATATCCAATGTAGACAGAGGACCAGCACTAGTTAAGCAATGCTCTTTCGATACTTTAAAACAAACAAAAACAGCCAGACACAGGAAGGCAACATAAACAGTGAACTGGTGAAGTTATTTTTCCAGGATATGTAACTTTCAGCTTGAGTCTGTAATGCCAACACAGCTGTTCTCCCTCACCTCACCTCCTTTCCTACAATCAGTCTAGAGCTTTGATGCTAGCTTCCGAAAAACACTGCAAACTTATCTTTGTCTTATTTTAAAAAAAAAATCCCCTCGAGTCCTTATATTTTTTCCTTACTCTTAAGAGCTCCCGGGCAATAGTTAAGGGGCTGTGTGCTCCTGTTTATGTAAAGAGCTTCTTTGCACAGGCCAGAGAGCACCACCATTAACCATGCTTGAACTTACTCCCCTGCACCTTCTCAAGACACACGTCCCTGTTTAGAGGATAACCACCCCTTGCAGGCTCTGAAGATGGGCGCGCACCATCAACGCTACAGCAGAACTGATAATAGTGTTTTGAGCTCTACCAGGGAAGCAAACTTGAACACTTTAATCTTTGATAGGAATGCTAATGTAATAATAGTCAGGTGATTTTTCAAGTTCACAGGGTCCCTGTCCTGAGTTCCGTGTCTGGCATGTAAAAATGTTAGTCTAACTAAAAAACCTGTAAACAATTGTAAACAAAGTAGGCTGCCTTCTAGTACCAGGGCTCTGCCGATAACAATGGTACCATATCACATTTTGTGCTGTTATTCTCAAAAGCAGGTGCAGGGCACATCCAGTAACTTTGTAATGACCACACATTTTTGTAGAATGAACACAGAAAACAGACTGATAAAATAAAGGGAAAGTGAAAAATAATGGAAAAACAAATCAAACCATTAGCTGGTCAATAAAAATCAACTTTTCTAAGGCAGAAGTATTACCATATGGATGCCTGGTAAGTGCAATTTATCACCATGTGGCTTGCATGCTTTTGTCCTAGTCATAAGGAACCATCAGGACTACATATTTCTCTCTGATGCAATATTATTTTTGTACTGAACATTTACCAAAGCCCAAACTGGAGGGAATGAGTTTTACAAATGTGCTGTAAATAACCAGATTCACAGTGTTAATGACAAACTATTTATTTTACTCCACCCTAAAACCCAGGGGTCCACTTCATCCCTGTCTATCTACATTTACTTAGCTCAATTTTTCCATATTCACCAATACTCCACTGACTGAGAACCACAATCCCAAGTAATTACCAGTAACAATTTCTTGGTAGAGGGACACAGAAGTGCTATTCATCTTCTTAAGAGAAATGGCAAGGGGCATTTCAGATCTGACTGTTCACAAAATATTAAATATCAGAGGGGTAGCTGTGTTAGTCTGGATCTGTAAAATATTAGTTATCTGGCTCCCATTACTGTAGTATTGGAGTGTCTCAGTGTAATGTATTCTCTCCATACCATCCCAGTGAAGTAGGGAAGTGCTATCGCCCCCACTGTATAGATGGGGAACTTTGGCCCAGAGGGACTAAGTGAGTTGCACACGGTCATACAGGAAGTCTCTAGCAAAGCAGGAAATTGAACTCCAGGTTTCCAGAGTCCCAGGCTAGCACTAACAACCAGGACTGTCGTTACTCACCGTAGAATCCCGATCCTGACAGGGGCCTCTGGGCATGCTGTGATTAATAAAGAAGGCTAAAACAGCAGAACTGGGTTCAGCTTTGTATCCCATTGACTATTATGCATCTCCAGTCTTAGTTCGGTCTGAAAACATTCTCTTTCAGCACTGTTTTCTTTTGAATTATTTTGCCAATGGTTCTCTGAGTTCTGTCCCCAACAGGAAAAGATTTCAGTCTCACTGAACACAAATAAATGGAATGGAGAAATTCAGAGATGCCTGGAATTTTTT